ATGGCAAATGATATGACAGATTCAGACATGGCAGAAACAATAATAAGTAGGCATGTTGGTGAGCTTGTACCACTCACCACAGAGCATTACATGGCATGATAAGGCAACCAACAGTAATATGACATAATTATGAAGCTAAACATGGCAATATCATGGTCATAGAGTGCATGGATCACTAGTAAAACACATGGCAAAACTGAACTTAATGTTAACAGGCTGACAACAACATTATTTATCAACTTCAGAGCAAGATTACAACAAGATACAGGAGGCTATAAATGCAACCAAAGGCATGGATGGATAGAGAATGACATGTATAACAAAATATCCTTAGTGAACAACTCCAGATTATGCATAGGATGACTTGTAGCTGCAGGTTTACATAGCATCATGATATAATAGATTCAACCTAGCAAAACAGCAACAGCAAACACCCTACTTCACGAGCTTGATGCACTCACTACAAGACTCACAAAAATACATGGATTGCACCACAGTAAAGATGGCATGATGTAGCTCAAAACTCATGTAGACATCAAGCTCATAAGATGCACACACAAAATGCAATGAAAAAGACAAATCACCAAGTTCTCTTAACAGACAGCAGTTAACATCATATAGCACTCTCGCAACGATGATTAGGGTATCAATATGGATTCAAACAAGCATGGCACAATGGAACAAAACGAAGAGCATCTCTCAATGAACATTTTGATGTATTACATGCACAAAACGGACCAGCACACAAGAAGTTATGGCATGTCAAACATGGCACCAGAATGCAAAATTACGGGGACTTAGAAGAAAAAACGGGGTCAACCTCGGGTTTGCACGGAAAACGATGCAGGGCCGGAGTTCGCCGGAGATGTGGCCGGAGAGGAGGGAGATGGCGGTCGGCGTCGATGGGGACTCGCCGGAGCGCGGGGGAGCCGGATCCGGTCGCTCCTCGACCGGATCGGGTGAAGAGGAGGCCGGGGCGGCGAAGGGCGTGGCAGCGGGGCTCGGCTCCGGCCTTCTCCGGCGGTGCTCGGGGCGGCGGCCGCGGGCGGCGCCGGAAAAGCGCTGCGGCGGCGGAGCAGGCGCGGGGGCGGTCACGGGCGGC